TCATAGCTGCTTTTCAAAATAACATCCACTCTTAAGTTTTTACTTTTCTGGGAGAAATCATTATTATTCTGTGTGCTCACATCTCATTTAGAAACTGAGATACAGGGGTACACAGTATATTGTGTATTATACATACACAGAATGGAGTGCATTTAGCTTTCTGCTTTCAATATAGCTACAGTATTTATACCATAATACCACTGACACATGGTTTATAACCATATAACTATAACTTAAGTAAAAGTAAATAAAAATATAAATGTATGTACTACTCAACAATAATTTGTAATATCATTTAATTTATTTATCAATAACCAATTTAAGAGTTAATTTTTAACATCCAGTTACTTGATTTTTCCAAAACTTTCAACATGAGGAGGAACACGAGATGTGGTTGAAAGCTTTTAATGATTATATATTATAATGTTGCATTGTGTTATTAAGCATTCATCAAATGTTTATATACTGGAGTTGAGTGAGTGAAGAATTAAATTACAAAAAACAAATAAGGAGTTAAGATAAGGTTTTACTCAAAAAATTGATAGTTTTCTGATCTTATTTGACTGTTCTCAGCCATGTAAAAAAATAAATATAAAATATAAAAATAAATAATTGTTTCATTGTTGTTGGTCGCACAACTAAACACAGCCATTAATAATGTTATTCATTATACTTGCATTGTTTTAGACCGTGGTGTGTACTGGCTTACTTATTTTATAAACAGGACTGGACATTTTAAATTGCATTTAAAGTGGGAGATCTATATTATTTTACAGCTGGAGATACTCCAGATTTCTGCCTCAACTTCAGCCTAAGGTAAGTGACTTTTTACCTTTTAAAGTGTCCTTTTTTGCGACCTGTTAATCGTCTCATCTCGTCTAACCAACAAGATATATTCATTAAGATAAAAGCTGCCACACTGCAAATACTGACATTTCACCAGATTAAAGTAATGAGACATTTCCTCTGTAATGACCAACTGAGCTTTTCCCCAGAAAGAGGGTGAGGTCCACTTGATTCTCATGGGTTTTGCTGTATATTTGATTACCTTCCTGAAATCTTATGTAAATTCTACTGTCATTTATCACTGTTTCTATAAACCTAATTACTATTAGTATTTGGATCATCTGATTTTACTATTTAGCTCAAAAGAAGCTGGGCGTTGCTGGTTGATCAGCAGCAGACTCGTTGTTACTGTGGTCTTTGCAGACCAGTGATGCAGTCAAACGTGCCAGCATCATCCAGCAGATGGCGTCCTTAAACTGCAGCCACAGATTACAGAGCCAGATACACTGCTGCTCACTCTGCCCTCATGAAGTTAATCTGCAATCCCCAACAGGCTTTTTTAAAAACTGAAATCATTTCAATACAATAAAAAGCAAAATGCTGAGACCAAATAATGAGTATGGACAGAGCAGCGCGTTGCTCTCTGATGTTTACACCATCCTACACTGGCATGAATACATTTCAATTTCCCAGAAGACATTTCTTTCTAACGTGCACAAATATGAAATTGAAACATGAAATTACATGTTTGTTTTTTTCATACATCTTTTAGGGAAATTTACAGAAGATACAATTAAACTTTAATAAACAATATTGTATGGTATACCAATAAGAACCAATAAGCTGTGCTGAGATCAGATATATAAACACACACAGACACATATATAGCTTAAATTGGACTTACCAAACACCTTGTGATAATTTTACTACATTTCTATATTATTATTTGACTCTAAGATGATTCAAATTCACAAAAAGAAAAAAAAAGAGAACAAGAAATCTCACTTTAATTGTATAAAAATGTAAAAAGGTTCTTTAAGTAATTCACCATAAATCACAAAGCCTCAGCCGACTTTACACAAACCCTTTCCTCCATTAGGTCTAGTATTGTATGTAGGTCTTGCCCCAGTGAGCTAGTGAGGCATTTACGACGGCAAGCACGACGGACACACTAGCAAGAACGCGAAACTACCTCCTCGCAACCAGAGGCAGTAAAAGTACAAGAAGTGTCACTGCTGGAAAACAGAAGTAATGGACATAATCACAGCGCCATTAAAGCCGAGGAAACTCTAGCTTAGCAAAGATGGCGTCGGCCAGTTTTCGAGACTTCAGCTGTCTGCTCGAGTATCCTCTGAATCTCCGTCATGTAGAAGAAGCATCCTATTTACTTCAGTGGATTTTTGTAAAATTATTGAGAATTCATATTTCTGACTATATAAAATAAATATTACTATTGATTCAAACTGCGTTACAGATGGAAAGAGCCGTGGTGGGCGTCGTGCTAGTGGAGCTCTTTGCTCCACAGGGTCTTTGGTCAGAGCGTCATTAGAGCTACTGACTAACATACATCCACTCCCATAATAATGGAATATAATCATTTAGTCAGACAATCCTTTCACCTACAGCCACATTAACAACCACATTTAAACACTAGCAGACATGTCACAACTTAAACTGTGATGTAAACCACTACACCAGACTGCAGCAGTCCCCATAGCAACAGAGGAGAGGGTGGGCATCACACAAGGCTCAGAGACACGTAATGAGTCAGGCCTCTGGAGTTCACATCCCAAGCTGCGTGTAATCTTTTAGCACTAAAAACCAAAAACCACACACACCATCCGGTTCTATGTCAGAAATTGAAACCTGAGAGATTCCAGTTGGCCCCAGTTTCCCAGGCACAGATATGGTACGATCCACCCTCATAAGGAAACCTTCAGCAGCGGCTCCCACCCCCCCCTCCATCTGGCAGGTACCACTCACTGCCGAGGGGGAGATCCTATCCATCCACCACAAATCTAGCACTCATTGTGGCAGAATTGCAGTGCACTGGACTGTACAGAGCAGGGTACCATCCAGGCTGCTGTCTGTGAGGGGTGGGGTCCGGCTACACTGATACCACCAAACATAAGCTTACAGAGGGACACAGAGAGGCAGAAAAAGAGAGAGAAGAGGGGGGAAGATTGCACCTGAAGAGGAATATAAAACGGGTAAGGAGAAAAGGGGGTGGATGGAGGGAGAAGGGAAAAGACAATGGGGAAAGGTCCAGAATGATTCAAATAGATTCGTTCCTTTGCTGCTCTGCCTTTTTTTCCCTGTTGACAACCCATCCTTCTTGATTCCCTTTCCATCTGTGACACCTTTCTTTCAGTCATATGCATGTTTATTCATCATGTCATCAATGTCTGTATGTGTATCCAGTGCTTAGTTCATTGTACATTTGAAACGTCTCTGGTTATTCATGCTCGTAGTGGGAGAATCTGTGGGCCATGGTGAATAAATCTGACCATTTGGCCCAGTTTACATGTGTCGTTTGCATTTGATAAAATATATATGCTTGTGTTGTCATGTAAGGTGACATAATGTAGCAGCTGTGCCAATTCTATGACACAATATTGGCTGATATGTATACTTCATTACTGGAGACTGACTGGTCTCATGCTTGCTTTGCAGCCAAAATCTATAAATAAGCAACAAAATACTGTGATTGACTTGATTATAGCTCCTACTATATATTACATAATAATGCTATATAATTTATTTGTCTTAAAACTCTTTGTACACCTAGAATGATGTATTAAAAAGCTTATTGTGCGATCAACAAACCCAGCTGTGTGAATGAGATAACCATCTCAATCAAAACAAACTGCAACATTATTTATATGTTATTATTATAAGTTAAGTATTTTATTTCTGGATCAATCATTGCTCGGGAAGCAGGATTAGAAAGAAACTACATTCAACTGAAACATTTTGAAATGTACAGAATGTATTCCCATCCAATTCAAATCCATGAAGCTTAAATGTTGCCGTTTGTGGCTAGGATGAAAGGAGACACCCCAGTGAACAGCACCATGAGTGTCGGCCAAGCCAGGAAGCTGGTGGAACAACTGAAGATAGAGGCTAGTTTCTGCAGGATAAAGGTAAGACAAGCTGGACACCTCCGATTCAGATATGAATCATGATAGTGTACTAAGCTCAAACACACATATGATACAAAGGGGGAAATGGTAGCAAATCATAAGGAAAAACAACACAGTAAGTCAAATACACACAGATCATAATACTACCATATTGCCAATAAATGATTAATACTGCTGCGCAAACTAAACCTCTACAAATCTGTACACAAGTTGAAAGGACAGCACTGAAGAGTTTTGACCAACTTTCATTATCCACGTTGGTTTGCGGATGAAGAAAAAGCACCGGTGACCTTCTCAAATGCACTTTAAGTCAATGCTTCCTGTTGGAGAGCTTCCAAATGGTATTGGCTTCTGTCATGTTCCTAATGGCTTCAAAAACACCTTGCAGAGGCACCTTGGAAAAACCAGTGGACAAATTAAGTAGGGGGCAGACGTATATATAACGCTAATATTATCATGTTGGTGTCAGCTGCTGTCACGAAGCATGACTGAGGAAAAACTAGGTGAGAAAAAGTTTGAGCCGGGGATGAGCCCTTCTCTTTAGTCCTAAACTCTGCTTTGGTTATAGTACCAGCCTTTCAAATGTGAGTCTATCAGTGAAATAAAAACTATTTAATGTAAACCTTTAGATCATTTTAAACTAAATGAGCATTCAATTTAAATATATTAGATATTTTTATGTAAATACACACATTTCATACTGAAATCCACATTTAAAGATTGTAGTAAATCCAAATATGTATGTACTGATTCCCAGTCTTACCACTCAGATGGAGTTTTCTACCGATATTGATTCTGTATTGTTTGTCTATTTTTGTGCTCATGTTCTATTACTGCTGTATCATGATACCTCTGTAACTGCAAACATCCAGCTTTCTTCTAACGAATCAATATGTTTCATCTGCTTATTCTGTTTATTTATCATTATATGTAATATATTTATTTATGATAGTAATCGTAAAATAATCTATTTGCATTTTATATGTTCATACACATTCAAAATTCTCAGTTTTTGTCCTGTTTGATAGAGAAACATTCGATTCAATTCAATTTTAGGTTATGAGTGATGGATATAGTTGAGTCTTCATTAACCAGATTTGAGCTACATCACTGAAAGATAGTACACTGTGTAAAATGATCTTTAAATTGAGACCGACATTATTATGAAATAGTATTACACACTACTACACACTGTATACAACCACATGCATGGACCTCAGACACTAAAAGGATTTGAACATATTTGCTCGAGCCATTCGGTGTCAAAAGATGAGCAGAGCACCAAAAGTGGGAATTATTGCTCATCATTACCAGAGCTGGAAGAGAATACACCAACACTCATGATTACAGAGTACAGAGTGTCTGTCCAGTAAAATAAACAACTTTACCTACAGTACATCAAACAGGACAAATAAAAAAAAAAAAAAACATTGTACACGCTGTCTTAACAAAATATGTAACAGCCAATGTTATTCTACTTCACAACACAGAAACAGTCTAGATGAGTGTTTCCAATATATAAAAATCTCCTCTGATTATCCCCATTAATAAGGAAACTGTGGTCACAAACCTTTTCCAGTGGAGAGCTCTCTAAATGCACCACAGAAGAATGATTATTTGTGTAATGGACTAATGGTTGAAAACATTATAATCTAAAATCTGATCCTCCTCGTCTGCAGGTATCAAAGGCAGCAGCCGACCTGATGGCGTACTGCGACGCACACTCCTGTGACGACCCCCTGATCACCCCCGTGCCCACCTCAGAGAACCCTTTCAGGGAGAAGAAGTTCTTCTGCGCTCTGCTTTGAGACCTATCAGGGATTGTTGTGATTAAAAGTACAACTGTACAGTGTGTACATGTATGTACAGTGTGTACATGTACTTCCAATCTAAATAAGACATCTATGTACTATAGTAACCTTGCATAAAAGCTGCCGATGTACAGTACATAATCAACTACAAAACGTCGTGAACTAAATTCTTTAACTGCTAACTTCTGTCTCGGTGTTAGAGGGGAAGAACCAAAATAACATGGGAATTTGACACAAAAGCTAAACATTCAATCAATAAGGAGTCAGAGTCGTCACTACAAAAACAAGACTACAAGTCGAAAGGAAAGAAATTTAAAAGAACAGCTATCATCTGGTTGAAAACTCAGACATTTCATGCTCATATATATTACAGGTAACTGCCAAAAAAGGAAACAGTGTGAGCATTAAGTGTCTTAAAAGGCTCCACCAGTCACAGGAACAGATTCATATGGATTCTGCAGCATTTCTAGTTTGGAGGCTAAATCTGGATTACGGTGGTGCTACATGTCTCAGATGCTGCTCTGATTAGGTCAGGGCTGTCAGTTCCCCACACAGAAATTGTCCATACGTTTGAGATCTGGCAACTGAGAACGAGACAAGCCTATGTTAGGTAATTAAGTATGACATTTCCCATGACTGACAGCGTTTCCATCTGGTGACTGCGTGTAGATGGTGTAATAACACTGCAGATTAATGCTTTACTTACAGGTAGAGGTCCTCATACAGACTGTGTTTTTTCTCCATCAACATTTAGTTATGAGTGCTTTATCGAGTTTATTGCCAATATATTTTGTACTCCTCGTTCACTTAGGTGTTTCCTGTTTTGGCAGTTACTCGTATCTACCAAGGACAACATGTGTTTATGAGTGAATTATAATCACAGATATTTATTTCAAGGTTTTATTAAGATTTTAGCATTTTGCTCATTTCTATAACGTTGCTGTAGTGTGGATGTGGAAATGTGTGTGTGTGCATAGGTGCTACTGTGAAACTTAAGCAACAATTCTGAGCATTTGATCACTGTCAAATCCAAGATTTTATAGTTGAATAGCACACAGGCCCAAAAAAAAAAAAAAAAAACATTCCAGGGGTTATGGATACTCAATATATAATGTAAGCCATTAAAGCAAAATCAGCTTTGAGTCTGTCACATGAACAATTTTCTATTTCTTTGAGGCAAAAAATAAATAGAGCAGTTCTAATGTACTTTCAAAGACAGGTGTACATCGTCATTTTAACCAATCAGGTCTGAGAGGTTCTCCAGAGCAGAGGGGTGCTTTCAACGGTTTTCCAGAAAATTCAAGGAACAGCCCAACGTCTCTACTTACTCTGAAGCCCACTGATGTGAACGCCTTGAGTTCCTGTTTAATTAAAAGGTTTCCCTCTCTCCAGTTATTACTACATCTACAGTACAGGCGGTGGTTTCATTCCGTTAAATCACAGGCACATCAAAAGAAAGCCGCTCTCAGACATGATCCCATCACATGGATGAGCTCCATGGCAACTTCAGAGTTGTCCATTGGGGACCCCCCTGCTCTGGATGGTTTCAAAAATTAAATCAATGTATTTTCAATATGTTGCAAATGTCGAATTTGGAGCTTTGGCGAAAAAGTAACCATGGAATATCAGACATTGAATAAAATCTGTTATCAAAGAGTTTCTCTCATTTGTGATTTTTATTTGAGAAAAATGAAATCTTTAATGGCATGTAAAAAGAACGCATGTCAAATCTGATACTTGCCTTTTATTTTTTTTTATAGTAACAGCAATATAAAAACTGAAGAGATTTCACAGTCAAATGCAAACACATCAGCCAGTGCTTTAACAAAGAGCTGCTACACAACGGTTACATCTTCAAACAGCTGGTGTGGAAGATTACGTGACACAGCGCGGACATGCACTACTGCAGATCTTATAGTTCAAGATCTGACTGGATAAAATGTTTAAACTCACATGCATTAAGGCATCTCATGTTTAGAAAGACAGTCAACATCAAGCTCAGATATGAAGACCTGACCTAAAATCAGGCTTGTTGGTGCTGCACAATACACACTATAGGTAGTATACCATTTCTACTTAAAGCCACTGGATCAGTGATTTACCTTTCCCATTTACAGGTCATTGTTTAAGAGCGAGTATAAACTCATCCAAAGGGTTTTTACTCGCTCTTGAACAAGGTCAACTTCTACTGAAGCTTCAAATACATTCTATTGTACGAGTACAGCATATCAGTGACATAAGCCTCTAACTGTTAATGAACAAACAGGGTGCTGATTGATTGACTGTATCGTGGTTGTTGGCTGATATAGATGGCTGCCATGTGATTCACACTGTTTAAACAAGACATCATGGTAGCCATTTAAGAAACCAACAAGTTGCATTCATCTGCAACTCATTAGCCTCGACCCCCAGCACTTGAAGTAGATGCATGATGTTGTTTTTTGCTAACAAAATTAGAAGTATATTTTGGTTGAGCTAGTAGACACATACTTGGAAGTTAATTCTTTATTGTTAAGGCTGCAGCCCGCTCATCGGCAATAGACTGACACGTTTTTGACAGTGTTTGAGTTTGTTGCATCGGCATCTTTATTTACAGACATTTCCATCTTCTGGTTCAAACAAGCTTTGAGCAGACTAGATGTGGGGGCCTGGCCATGTTTCCATTTGCAAGATCAAAAGTTAAAAGTTTTTGGAATAAGAATTTTTTTTTTTTGCTAAGACCAGTGTCACATCAGTTTTGAGGTTTAGGTTTGTGTCACATGAAACAGTCACATCCTCTGCAAGACACTTCAGACAATCCACCCCATCAGGAAATCATTGAAACTTTGTTTGTGGACAGTGCATGATAGTCAACTGTGATATAATGCGGCGTTTAAAAAAAACACCGCTTACATTAACCTTTCAGTGGCTTTAAAAAACAGGCTAATGGGAAAAGAAGCCCAAGAGTTGATGGTGAATAGAAATATTAGTCTGGGTCGTACTGGGTAATCATCACATTACGTGTGCTGAATCAAAATCTAGGTGTTTTACTGAAGGTAAAAGGTTTAAAAACATAGCACAAGCTAGCCATGTTTAGCGTAACAAAATGTAAAATCTCAGTACGTGGCAGACAATGAATGAACCTGAATATAAAATGTAACCTTGATCAGAAAGCCGTTGCAGTATCATGAACATGAGCAGCTTTTTCCCAAAAACTGTCCTCACAGCAGACGTTCTGACGTGTCAAACAAAGGGTGTACCAACGTTAATAAAGGCTACATTAGATTTTAGTGTCCCAGTGTCACAGCCCTGCTTATGTGCATGCTGGCTCAGTAACATGACTTACTGGTAAACCCTAATGGAAAGAAGCCATCATTTATGTTACGACTACACCCATTTACTACTATGACAAGTCAAAAGGTCTGCTGTGAAAGTGGCTACTGACAGCGAGTAAACATTACAGGCAGATTCACATCAGATCACATTTTGTGATGACCCACCAACAATTTAAAGACAAATAGACTAATAGTATCCAACTGTTTGCGATGCCATGAGAAGGGCATGTTTGAATTTGATTTGGGGGTCAAGGGATTTCAGAGATACACTAACAGCTTTAAGTATAATTTAAAAACAAGTTGACATCAATAAACCTCATTAGTGTGTACAGTGTCAGTTCAAATATATATGGTGTAGCTTAAGTGAATCAATATTTTGGAAGAGGTAATGTACAGTTTGGACTTCAGAAGTAGAAAACAATGACTGAACGCTTTATAGGAAGGAGTCACACCATTCTTTAAGACAGCCATAGCAGTCACCTTGTTGTTTGACATTTGCCCCGCAAGTATCCTTGAGCCAGTCCCGGAAGAGCTCCTCGTCTTTCTTTAGCACTAGGAACTGCCCGAGGACAACATACGCCTGTGACAGGAGAGATGGAAACAAAACTGAAAGTCAACTTAAAACAGAAGTCCCAGTGTCACATCAACAGCCAGGTGGCCAGGTTGCCTCGTAGCCGAATCGCATGAATAGATGATCGGTATGAGGAAGAAGCGTGGTCCACACCTTACAGCACAACGACAAGCTTATGAAAGACATTTTACCCACACAAATATCAGAAACGCCTAAATGACACCCACACAGATTTGAGGTAGCCTACTTGTTTTCACACCACATTATAGAATTAATACAAGCTTCATCGTCCTGTGTGTTGGCTGTAAGATGAAGCCATTGCTTTAATGGTGAATAATGGTTACTCTAACAAGTTATTGTGGCACACTGAAGGCAGAACAATTACATTTTGATGCTGCTATGCTCAGATCTTTCCGTCATCATTTAGTGACTTCGAGACACTGATGAAATCACCTGAGAGTACCGCTATCACAGCGAGGACGAGCGCCCTCTATAGACAGTGAACTTTATGTGTGGTACAAAGTAAAAATGCTTATACTGCATTAAAGAGGGTGAACAAATCAAATCACCTTGTCGAAACCTTTCTCCTCCAGTCTTCTGCCAAGGACCTCTCCGATGCCAGCAAGAGCCATCACAGACTTCTCACCCATGGGCTCGGCCACGAAATCTTTATGTTTTTGGGATGTCGACGACATGGCTGCTTTGTAGGGGGTCACAGGTCACAGATCAACTACTGAGCTGAAACACACAGATCACAGTGGACGTTGAAATACAGGGAAGTCAGGCTACTGTGGAAATGAAGGGGAAACAGTGTTAGGTTTCTTTTTGATACTGAAAGTCGTCAACCTCACAGTCAGTTTTATTTCACACC